CTCAATGCATATTCAATGTTATAAATTATATGTGTGGTTATGGTTTATTCATTTACACTATTTATTCATTAGATATTATAAATTAGTAATCACAATCAGAATAAAATAGTTATGATTTTTCTAACCACAAATGGGACGACACATATTATAAATTATAACCTTCAATAAGAATAGGGGCATTACATTGCTTTTAGAATGATGACTTTTATATATGAACTAAGTTTTGAAATATGTAAAGACAAAAATTCAAAAATAAATTGTATGAACTAAAATTAAATCTTTGGTATATTTTTAATATTCTACCAGCAGATAATTTACGGTTAAAAAAGTTGCCATGAATATATTAAGTTTTGTTCTTCTCTTACAAACAGTAGCACGAAATGACTCCATGGCCCAATGGATGATCCCCGGTGGAGTCGAATTTTCAAATTATTCTTGATTTTTCGTGCCAGCCATATGGGCTTATGTGAAAAGGAAATAATGCGACAAATTCAAAGCGTATACGTGTGTAATTAACTATTCAGCAATATTGAAATATAGGATTGAGTCTAATACACATCAAATTATATATATATATATATATTTCACTTACTTTTATCTTTTATTTCTACAAGCGTCTAAAAAATGTCATTAAAACCATATGACAACTAAAGTTATCACTAGTTAAAAATTGATTTTTTGTATATTAAATTTATGTTGGTGTGAGATGAAGGGCTATTAAGACATACCTTTTTTTTATAACTATTTTATCATCTTTTATTAAGATACATCTTACTTTTATTTAAAATATAAATTAATAAATAAAATAATTTTATTACAATATAACTACATTTTGGCAGACTTAACTAATTCTATTAATGCTCACAGATGTCAAAAGAGGTGATAATTTAAAAAATAATAATCAACACAATACATTTTGAGTAATGAACAAAAATAAAGTGTTTAATCTATACACTATCACTATAAAGATGTATACATAGTGAGTATATCTATTATCCACTATCTATTTGTATTATTACTTTTATTTAAGACTCAATAATGATTAATAATAAATTTTGGAAACAGTATTTTACACTAATAATGTATACATCTTTTTCTCTAAAATATAACAACATTTTGTCAAACAATAAATATTATCAAACGCAAGGAGTATCTATCTACAACAATAAAAATTGAGATGCCTGAATGATTTAGAGAAATGTTTATGTGTGGGCGTATATATGTGTAGATACATCATATTTGAATTACACAAATTTTTCTCTCCACAAAATATAATGTCTGCATGCATCATCAAGTGATCTCACTCATCTTTTATTTTTTAATTATAAATGGCCCAAATATGGCATTGGCATCATTTTTTGACATATGTATTATGTATAATAAGTCCAATTTCTAATAAACATCCCAATGCACAGACATACCTTCAGTTATTGAGAAAGGGAATTCTCTGATATAGATTAAAAACAATAATATACTATCACCATCAATGTTTTCATAATACCCCACTGCCTCCTCTGCTATTTGATTGTACTTTTGACCCAAAATCTGTCACACATGGCCAACTAGAAAGTAAGTCCCTGTGCATGTAATATGGATTTTTAGTTTTAGGACTCAACATATGGGATGACGAATTTAGACTAAGCAAACTTTTACATTAGAAAGTAACTAACTAACTATCCTTTGAAGCAAGGGCAGCTTTTGATCCATATTTGGAGAAAACATCACTTAATACAGCCTTCTCCTTGACCCTTAACCTGAATGGATCAAAAGAGGAAACATGATAATTTGACAACCATAATGAATATCATATTATAGCAGTTTATAATGCAGAGGGAATCACCTCTTTGCAGATCCAGGAACATCTGAATTTGAAACCTTTTTTGCTTTCTCTTTGGGTTTCTTATGCTCTTGTCTAATTTTGGAAGGTGAATTCTGCTCAGCTATGGGGGTTTTGTCAACCTGCTCTGAGGAAAGTAAATCATTTTCAGAATCAATTATCATATCCACACTATTATCATAATCCATGCTCATAGCAGTGGCAGACTCTGGACTGTCTCCAACACCCTTCTCTTCTTCTTCTTCTTCTTCTTCTTCTTCATATGTCTCATTATCCATGTTATCGGAGTAATCTGAATCATCAGAGGAGTCTGAATCATCCGAAGTGATTTTATCCCAGGAACTCAGAGCAGAACCATCCATAATAGAATCCTCATTTGAATCTTCTTCAAAGGAAGATACTGGGAGAAGTGGAAGAGAGCCAAGATTTTTGCTTAATCCTATAGAAGTAGAAGAGGAAGACTGTGCATCCACAAGCTCACATTCTATCTGCTTCTGAATTTTACCAAAGGTAATGGCTTGTCCAGAGTATAACTCTACAAACCTGAGAGAAGGGGAGAGAGAGAACAATGATTTCAGTTAAAAGATATTAGCACCGTAATCTGGAATAATAATGGTATGCAATACCACTGAATATTTATGCACTCATCTCAGTATAGTCAAATAGGATAACATGAAGAAACTTGAATCAGATAGCCAAAAGCTACAAACTAACTTGTATTAATTTCACGTATTGATAACACTGTCAAAAAGGAAGCACTTATAAGACAAGTTATGAGTGGTATGCATCAATACCTAAAAACTTATGAAGAGAAGAGCACTATCGAACTAAGGTAATTTTCCCTATTTTCACTATTATTTAGGGGGCATTCAGGTATGAGATTGAGGCTATAACATACTTAGCTGCATCTTCTTTACGCTTGAAATCAACAAAAGCAAAACCCTTACAGACAGGGTCCCTTGTCTTCTTGTTTCCAGAAACAGCTGGAACTATATTCATTATGCCCGGAATCCCTTGCAATGCAGATTTCAGATCCCGGTGGATGTTCTTTTTCTTTGGTAGGTTTACCAAGCGCACTCGACCTCCACTCGGAACAACATCTGCAAAGTCGGTAATTGATAAAGTCAGATAACAAATTGTAGGTTCTGCAGAAAAGAGAAGCAAACACTACTTGTTTCAAAGGTCTTGGACATTGGTTTCATCCAACAGACCAAACACAATTAGACACCGACAAAAACAGTATATGGTACAAACAAGACTCTACCCTTCACTTCCACAAGCATTTAAATTCTTCAAAATCTCCATAAGACATACTAGAAACTACAAAGTGCAGTGTGCACTCCTCAGTTCCTTATGCATACATTGTCACGAAACACGATAGTAGCATTTGGCACCTAAAGATAGCAGAACGATAGAGTGTCCTGTTCTATTCTAATTCGGTCCACTAAACGAGTGTAACCAAAATGCCCAAATTTTATCCCTTCTATCATGCCTTCTTCTATATATAAAATATGCCAAACATTTAACAAAATCCATATGTTAATCAGTCTTGCACATCTAGCAAACATTACCAATATATGACAAAGAACAATAACAGAACCCTATCAAACAACATCAAAGGAAACATTTTTGAAGTAATTTGAACATGGCAAGTAGCAGGGTGCAACCCCCGAAACAAAAATTTAGTGGACAACCTTTCTTCTTTGGTTCACTTTGGACTGAACCAGCATTAACAGGATTGTTCTTAAGCTTCTTCAAATTCTCAGCCTGAGCTTCTTTACTCTTCTGCAATTCCTCAAGCAGCTTATCCTCAACAGAAGTGTCGTACTCTTTCCCTTCTCCAAACCCCTTAGGTTTCTTATCAAACCATTTCCTCATCTGATCCAACGGAAGCATCTCATCACCATCAACATCGCCATCAACATCATCATCATCATCTCCTTCTTCTTCTACTTCTACTTCTTCGTATTCATCACTAACTTCAGTGTCAACATCATCCTCGTCGTCCTCGTTAATTTCGACGACGCGAGCGTCACGGCGCCTTACCTTCTTCCTAGAGGGAGAGGCGGGGACGAACCTTCCACCACGGGTAGCGGCGGCGCGTAAAATAAGACGGGGCTGCCGGAATAGTTGGAGGTTGAAGCAGGAAACGAGAGAGGGGTGAGGGTGAATAACACGTGCGGGTGCTGGAGAATTACACGTGCGGGAGAGAACAGGCACAGAAATGTAGGGTGCAGCTTCGCAGAGCATTGTCTTTCTTCTTCTATTTTTTTTTGGTTCGCTCCTCCTTCTGCTATTTCACTTCTTCTTCGCAATAAGTGGATATGATTTTTAAGCTATCACTATTCTTTATTTCTCTTATTTTTATACTAGTTTTTGCAGAAATTTTAAATAAGTCGCGGTTGATTAATGTTTTAATTAATAATTGAGTTTGAAAACTTTTAAGGATTTAATATGTACATTGTGTATGTGTTTTTTTTAATATTATACATATTTCATTTATCATTCATATATTAATTATAATTAACTTTCAAATAAAAATAATATTATAATCAATGATAAATAATATATAAAAAAAATCACTAATAATATATAAATATTAAATTCAATATTCAAGGCTGATTTAAGCAAAACCAAGCTACATTTAGCTAAAGTGGGATAAGACTTAACTTTTGATAAGTAAGTTTTGAAGTATATGATTAATAAGGTATGTGATTCAATTATAATTCTAAATAACTACAATTAGCACATTAATCACCTCTTACCTTAAATTGAATTATAATACAATTTTTAATATAAAGTACTCTTAATACAAAAACATTCTAATTGTATAAAATAAAATATATAAAAATTAAATACTTAATACAATAAAATATGAATGTGGATCGGCAGACATTCGTGTCTGCCGACACGCTAGTGACTTTAATAATTTTCTCTATGTTACTCACTTATTTTTTGTCTCTAAAGAAGAATAAAAATGTGTAGTCCTAATCCAACTCAATGTTAGTTTTAAAATAATATGGGCGAAATAGAATGAATTTAATAAAAGATATGGAAGAAGTTACTCAATCTTATGAATTTGTGGTTTTGACCGGGTGAATTTGTTCTAGGAGATATTTTTCTTCATTTGGAGGATGAACTAATATATTTGCAAAACAGGATGACGTTTAACTTACTGTAATAAATTATATTTACGAAAATCCTTACATCTTGGTTTCGTGGTGTAGTTGGTTATCACGTCAGTCTAACACACTGAAGGTCTCCGGTTCGAACCCGGGCGAAGCCATTCTTTACTTTTTCGGTTTTTTCCTTTTCAACATGTAAACATAAATTTACAGCAACTTGAGTTTCTGTTATGCCAATGAGCCCATTAGATAGCATTTCAAATGTGAATTGGGTTTTATATTCTTATTCACTGTATAAGACGTGGGCTTCTTTTGTGATAGCAGCTAGTTCACCCTAACAACACACTTCATCAATTGCAACACCACCCTACATAGGCACATAGTTTGTTTTTGCATCTAGACAAAAACATGCCACCAAAGATTGTTTCACTTATGCCAGCACATTATCCCACACCATAACCCCTACTTCAACTTTGAAATGATATGAGCATTTATTTCACCACATGCTTCTCTCAGTGCTTCCCCATATCTGCAATCTTCACTCCTAGCTTTCCATCTAATGCCATTGCTCTATTCATATAATTCCCACCTACATCTAACTCATCTCGTACTCTTCAAATTAATGCATCTCTATTCTCTAATGTGTTCATTCTTACATGACTAAAATTTACATTATTATAACTTTTTTATCACTTAATAATACTCACAAGTCTTTGTCAGCTGATAGCATGCCAACTCAAATAGAATTTTTGTTCAATAAGTTAGTACACTCTCTATTAATGAAGAGATAATTGATTAAAAAAACAAATAAAATTATAACTTTGAATTACATATTTATCCTCTTAATTATAATGAAATTATAATTTTATAATTAAAAATAATGAGAAATATATGCCTTTATCTTTCTACTGTCTTGTTTTGATTTATTAAACATCGGTTAGTAATGAGATATATTCTTTAGAAAGGCTTTCATTTGTACATTCATTATCTGAAGCTGTCATCATCTTATGAAACCTATCAAAATTAATAATATGCTGTCATCATCACCAAGCATACATGACATCATATAAGCAAAATATATTGCCTTGTGGGGACATTATTGCTATCATTCATGTATTGAGGGGATAAGGGATATGTATTGGTGTTATACTATGTCCCTCACAAAAAGACAGTAAAAATTTACTAATGACATTATCTCAAATTAAAATCATGATAATGAATAAAAAGGCTTGAAATTTACATAATACATTAAACAATCAGAGGCATATGATCAAATGACTCACTTTGATAATTCATTAATTTGTTAGACAGAATATTAAGTAAAAAATATTCCCTTAAAAAGTACTTTTAAAAGTTTTATCACCTTTATGTGACAGATGAAATATAAACTTTCTCTGTTATTTTGAAAATTCCTCTTTTACCGTTTTATTCATTAACCATATATTAGAAATGCGTTTTAACAACAAGCATTCAATAATTGTAAATGTTGTTAATTGCACGATAATAATCACTGGTTGGTATCCTCTCGCTCTTTAGTATAAGGAATTAATCTCTTTTGAATTTCTAGATTGTCCATCCTAACAAATATCACTCACATAAATCGAACTCTTAACATTTTGGTTATCCTAAGAATCTGGTGGGATAATAAATCATTAGACTAACATTTTATTGATTTGGCAATATAAATAATAAATATGATAACACAACATGTATGAAGTGTTGTTAATTCTAGTAATAAAATGGAAGGTAGTTCTATATTTCATCATGTAGCAATTAGTGTTGATGTTATGATTTGTAACTGTTGTTTTGATTGAATAATAAAAGAATGAAATATAAATATAGTGACAGTGTGAATATTTATATATATTTATTGTGTCATTCACTGTTTATTTGAATGGTTTTTCGTAAATAACTAATAATAATAAATATATATAATATAATAATAATGGTAAAAATTTATACAATTTTGTTCTCATACTAAAAAAAATTGGCCCATAATTCTTCATATATTATTACTATCTTAACAAAAGGAATGAACCGAACCAAACCAAAATGCATTCATTGAATTTGTTTCATTAGGATTCAGACGAGGCTTCTTTGATGGAGGCATGTCGGTTTTATCTACTTTGATTTTAAATTTTAATTGTATTTAGTTTGGAATGATATCACAAATCTTATAACGATTTTGTTATAATCACATGAATTCGGGTTTTTATTCAAAGTTTGTTTTCGAGATTAAATGTAACCCTTTACCCTTGACTTTTATTTCAATGTCACGATTGAATGTTATTATTAGATGTTTGTGCTATTTAATTTCAGCCAATTCTGTTTGTGTGTCCTATTTACCTATAACTTAAATAACGTTACCTATAAATTTACCAAGAACTGTAAAAAAAGAAAATAACATTACCTATAACTTCATTTCATTATACCATAAATAATTAAATACGTTCTATAAAAAGTTACCCTTTCTTTTTCTTGAAAGAGTATTCGCCTGCGTATAAGTTCATAAATATTCAAAAAAACTTAAATGATTAAGATAGAAAAAGAAAGAAAATAGATAACATTTATTAAATTTATAGTGTAATATTTATACACTGAAAGTATAAAAATTTATACAAATTAGTAATTCATCATTTAACATTTATTTGTAATATTTTTACTTAAGAGTAAAAAATAATTAAGAATGAATATTGACGATAAAGTAACAATATAAATTTATATTTTTCTCTTAAATATATTTTTAGTTCTAATAAAATCCCACCCCTCATAACAAAGTTGGACTAAAATTCTATAAATTCATTCATTTTAATCGTAATATTTGCACTTAGTTGATATCAAACACATCATACATGTTTACACACATGTATTTTTGTTTTCAAACAAATATTCCTGCTCATATTTTGAATTTTGCAACACCTAATATATTAATATATGAGAAAAAATAAATACATTATATGAATTTTTATACTGTTATTCTATAATTCTTGATTCATATCTAATTATCATTAACTAGAATAGTCATTATGTATAAATCTAAATGAATAATAATAATATAGTTATTATGTATAAATCTGTACATTATGAACACATATTATAATATTAATATATTTTAAATTTAATGTGCGTTAAGTTTTGAATTTAGCCATTCTCACAACTACCTTACATGAATTTTGTGGACAAAAATCAAGAGAAACTGGAAAGACCAAAAAATATTCAGGCAAAAAACGAATAAAAAATCTAACCAGACATCGCATATTTATATTCAAACAAACATATGAAGAGTCCACAGCACAGGTTCATCTACAACTACTCTTTCTTCCCACACTACACACTCACACACTCTCACCACTATTCCGGTAACTTCTCCGATCACAAGTTCCGGCAACCTCTCATCCCAAGCCATGGCAACAGAATGACCGAAAACCACCATCGCTGTCGCCGATCACCATGTCCTTATCCTGCCCCGACCGCTTCTCTGACTCTATCCTCCTCTGCAGCGAGGACACCTCCGGAATCATCTCCGGTGAGTCGCCTGAATTCTCATCCTCCAATATCGATTTCTTGCCGCCACTGTTCTCATCGTCATCGGAAGAGGACGAGTCCATAGCTGGGTTCATCCAAGACGAGCGCAACTTCGTTCCCGGGCTCGATTATCTTTCAAGGTTTGAGTCTCGGTCGCTCGATGATTCCGCCCGAAAAGAATCAGTTGCATGGATTCTCAAGGTAACCGCTATTTCACCTTCTTTAGAAATCGAACACTCTGTTCCACTAATATTACATATTTGCCACTCGCATATACGGAATCGGACGATGCTAAAATGCACCCTTGGTAACCGTCACTCAGAAAACGGTTCAGCTTTTAGATCTAGCTGTTATCTGATTTGGATTCGTTTGGTTGTTATCTGTTGGTTACAGGTGCAGGCTTATTACGGATTTCAACCGCTCACGGCGTATCTTTCCGTCAATTACGTGGATCGGTTCTTGAACTCTCGGCAGTTGCCGGTGAGCTCTGTGAATTTTGTTTTCATACAAATTTATAATAATAAATGGAACTTTGAAACAGCTTGTGAGATTGAGTTATTACTAGTGGAAAAGTTTTCTATGCAGTAGTTATGAATGACTTTTCTAACGTGAGGTGAATCTAGATGTGTGTTACCTGAATAGAAATACACGGCGATATGCAAATGCAAGTTTTATATATTTAACTTTCAGTTAAACTGCCTACTTTTAAATAAGGACTAATGAAAAATTTATTTTGTATCATTATTTAATGTTATTTGCCTTTGAAAAATATATTTAATGGCGTTTAATTATATATTTGGATACCGTCGTCTACAGTACGGTCATATTACTTGCTTTTTAGTTGTTGACTTGTTGTATTGTTTGGTTGGGTACGTACGAATATTAAGTGTTACTGTTCAATAAATTCTATTTCGTTTTGGATTTTTTACGGTTGAACATTCTGCATATTAAATTCAAACTCTTACTTTATTAAATACACCATTTTCAATTTAAAATCTATTTTTTTATGGTTATTTTCTTTATACCCTCAATATTTTTATTTGCACATAAAAAGATATATAAGAATCATTTCCGGAAACTTTTAGCACTCTTATCCAGACACTTGCCTCTCTAGTGGGATTTTCTTTCATAAAGTTTGATTAATATTTAGTGTTATCATTTAACACTGATAATCAAAATAAATACTTTTTTTAGAAGTGAATTAGGCCAACTACCTTTCTTATTACTTAGTGCATGATATAAATTTGTTTGCAGCAAACAAATGGGTGGCCAATGCAACTTCTGTCTGTTGCATGCTTGTCTTTAGCGGCAAAGATGGAGGAACCTCTGGTTCCGTCTCTCTTGGACCTTCAGGTATATGTCCAACACGTGTGACAATTCTTAATCCATTATAACAAAATACTATGTTTTGTTTATTAGTGGATACATTAATTAAATTGTATGCTGACTTGGTTTGTCATTAGTTATGTAAAGTTGTAAACCATATGACACTAACTCCCACTACATTATTCTTATCCATAATTAAATATAAACAGGTAGCGGGTCCCAAATACATATTTGAGCCCAGAACAATTCGAAGGATGGAACTACTTGTTCTAGGTGTTTTGGATTGGAGGCTAAGATCAATCACCCCATTT